ATTTCTCAAAACAGTTTTTCAGAATGACAAAAAGAACACATTTTCAGAAACTTCAAAACAGACACTCAAAATACAAAACACAAAATGAATTCAAAACTCAAAACACAAAACTGAAACACAAAGAGAACGGCCCCTAAATGTTTTAGCATTTTGTAAAACAGATGTCTTATCAAACTAAACTCTCAAAAGGGAAGTTGCAGAAACACAAGTGAATTTGAAACTACAAGATACTAAACAAATCGTGACGATTGCTCCCAAAACTAGTCTAATTCAATGCACTTTCAATTGGGATAAAGCCAAACCAAATCCACTTCCATAAACATGTGGGTCTTATGTACAGTTAAATAGACCAATAAATATTGTACCTTGATAGTATTAACTTGTGAAGCCTAATATTGTCACTTCATGGAGCTGGTCGCGGATCAAATTATTGCCCTAATTTATCTTATAAATATGGAGCCATTCTTAGACTTCATGATTATCATAAAAAAAGAGAGGTTAGGAAGATAGGTGTGTGAATAGAACTTGTAAACCTTTTTTTTTTTCATCACGGTGAATTACTGAGCGGCGGGGAGAACGTAGTCTCAAATTGAGATGAACTGTATAAATTTTGCGTGTTCTTGAGTATTTATTTTTCTTTTTTCGAATTGATTGCTTTCAGTGGAATAGAATTAAGGCTTATAATTCTCAATAGATTGTTTTATAAGAATCTTTGACATTTACAATATTGTTGCTCGACCTTAAGAACATTTGGAAAAGATCATACATTCGAGATATACTAAGATGTAAAATTTTCTAATATAGAGCTTTGGGGGAAGAATTGATTATGAATAGTGATATGATTGGAAATGTGTGGTAGAATAAGAAGATAAAATTATTGATGTTATGGAAAATATTATTTTATTGAAAAATGTGTGGTTGAAAATGAGAATTGATTTACTGTAGAAAAATTTAATCACTCCCAAACATGGCCTACATGTCATTGACTTATTGTAATCGTTATGTTGAGNAATAGTGATATGATGTGAAATGTGTGGTTGAAAAAGAAGAAAAAATTATTGATGTGATGGAAAATATTATTTTATTGAAGAATGTGTGGTTGAAAATGAGAATTGATTTACTGTAGAAAATGAGAATCCCTACCAAACAGGCTCATAATCTTATAATCTCCATTACATAAACCTTGCCTTCCACTCAATCTTTTTAAAGATTAAAATATATGTGCAAATTGGTAGATTACGGGGAGTTCTTGGAAAATTATATCTGAAATCATCAAATTTAAAGAAATTCCAAATATCATAAATCATCTCAAACATTGGCTACCCACTACTTTTATGCAGCTAACCCCGGAATAAAGAGAGAAAAATATGAATTGTAAGATATAATTCGCAGGAATAAGAATTGCGAGGTTTTCTTTTTAAAAAAAGTAAAAGTAGAGCAAGCCCATAAAAAAGTATTATATCCACGCAAATTAACTGTATAAAAGCAAACCCGAAATTAAATTACTTATAAACGATATGAAATTTTAAAAAAATCAACTGAAAATTGAGAAAAATTATAGAAATAAATAATTAAAAGAAAACCCATTAACATACCGGTGGGCTTGTGGTCCTTAGAACAAGAGGGGCAAAACCAGGAGCCTTTGGGCACGGCAACAAGAATGGGTCTTAGGCAATGAAGGTGAAAGCCGCTGTCACATTTATCGCAAAGCAGAAGCTCCGAAGCCCGGTCACCCGACCCGCAATTCTCACAGCACACATCACTATAATCTTCCTTTGATCGGAACCTCTTTCTGGATTTGGGCTCCTCAGAAATCGGCTTCGGAGCTAAAGTTCTTTTCCTTGAAACCATTGTCGAGACCATTGTTAATGGGAAATGGGGATCGTGAATCAAACAGTGAGTGTGCTTGTGCGTAATAAATAAATAAATAAATTTATTTATATGAATGGAATCCTGCGTGTAAAATGCTTTGGCGCGTTATTTGTTTCCGCGGGAAGAGGGTATTTAGCGCCAAACAGTCACGTGAGTAGCATGTGTCTTGGCAAGGAACTGCTTAGGAGCGGTAATTGGCCCTAGCCGA